AAAAAATGTATAGAAAATAGGAGTATAAATAGGATTTTTTTGTATCCCCCACCCCCATCATACCCCCACCCCACCCCCCACTCCCAAAACCCCCTGGACCCCTCCTAAGCCTCCAACGGCTATAGAGCTGTTTGGGAATAGTCCCAACGACTAGGAGGGGCTTTTTGTTTAATTTTTTTTTAAATGTAGCCGTTATTGGCCCGGACCGGGCCCGGCCGGGTCGGTTCACTAATATAGAGGCCTGAGCCCGCCCCGCTCTTTCCCCGGTTCGGTTGGCCCGGACCGGCCCCAAGACCGGTTCCGGGCCGGGCCGGTTACAAACAGTACCGGTCCCGGGCCGGTTACAAACAGTACCGGTCCCGAGCCGGTTCTGGGCCGGGTGGCCCGACCCGAGTCCACCCCTATCTTGAACGGCTTGGAGACCGTAAAAGTCAAACTGGGAACTTAATTGAGGAACGAAGAGAGTACAATGGGTTTAAAAAATATGTAAATAAGACAAAATATAGGAGCACCCGCGGGGGACAACGAGGTGGGGAGGGGATGGGGTGGGGATGGAGGGGTGAACCCCGCCCCAAACCCGCCATGTTGTCATCCCTAAAATGACAATGTTTCAAAAAAAAGATGACAAAGTTACAAGGAATAGGGGAGTATTATGTCAGTGAGATAATGGTATGATTGTGAATCTTACGGTATCTGTCAGGTCAACATGAGAGCAATGGTTTCAATTTAGTATGAGATAATTTTAGTGAGAGAGATTGAAAAAGTAAATAGCTAGTCATTAGTTACTATAATAATATTGGTTTTGCCCACATTATTACTTTGTTAAAAGCATTCTTCAAGGCCGTCTTTTAATCTTTTTAACGGACCATCTTGGTGCACCTTTGTTATTAGTGTTATAGAAAATTCATATAAATCTGCATGCAATAATTAAATAAAAGAGAGTAATTAGAAATACTTGGATGAAACCGAGCCCAATGGATCATTGTCTCCTTAAGACGAATTTGCCCACAACACAAGTAGCAATCGCCTCCCAGGATAGAACGGTTTTTCGTTCCCGAAGGACACCGGCGAACCAAATGATGCACTAAAATGGTGAAATTTTGACGAGGAAGATTAGGAAAACATTTAGCATTTTTCGGACTTCTTCTCTTGTGAAAAACGCAGGCCTCTTAATGGGATTTATAGTGCTCTGGTCAGGAGACACAATCCCAAAAGGTGCCTGTTAAGAAAAGGTAGCGACCCTTCTCTTAAAGTTGCTTTTATCCGAAATATTTGCACAAAAAATAATGTTTATATCTTAAAGTCACGTGGGTACCCACCTGTACCCGAAACCCGACCAAACCCGGTCGGCCAGCGGCGGCGCGTGAAGTGCAATTTCACGCTCACCGTGTGCGGGGGACAATTTCTCATTCATTTCAAAATGGTTTTCCACAAATAATGTATTGAAATATTAATTTGTAAACCATTTTTCCAACAATTACTTTGTGCTCCCACAATTTTACAGGGATCAGACAATTTAGTCCTAAGCGTAAGTTTGTTGCGCCAATTCATCTTTCAAATGCATCATCTTTTTTTCTTTTTTTGCGTGCTTTTACTATCATATTTAATAAAACTTTTTTATATTAGTTAACTTATTTACACAAATATGACTATTCATTACTACAACGTAGTGTTGCAGTGACTTAAGTTCAAATCTTAAACATGAATTACTATGATTTCATTACTACTCTAGTAACTAGTCATATTATTGTAAAACATCTTTATTTTGATCATATTTATTGAAATTATTTGAAAAGATATCAATAATCATATTTGAAGTTCGGCTGTTCTTGTTCGCATATCTGGCCGTGGAGCAATGGTCTGCTTTTGGCTAATGTAGAGCGATCACGAGTTTTTCTCTCTAGGGCTTTGACTATGTCGACCGCTGGAGCCTTTTTCCGATTTCGACTTTGTCGAAGATCGGCTTTGTTATCCCTTGGTCGCTGGTGCTCGACTGGAGTCCAGGTCAGACGCGGAGGGCGGAGATTAGTGGAGGAGGGCAGATTTGCTGTCATGGCTCGAGGAGATCGGCGTTGTGGTCAAGGTTCAAGGATGCGACGTTGCTGTCGTCGTTGGAGAAGATCGGCACCGCCTATCCGTTTACTCTGGTCACACGGAGCAGAGATGAGTTTGGTTATGCAGGGACGGAGGATTGATGCATGGTCTTTGGCAGCCAAAGGTCATGGAGGATCAATTAGCATGGTACCAGTGGTACGACCTCCTCCTGAACCACCACCATGGGATGCACGAGGTGCTAGAGTTCGTGAACGTTTTTCTTGTAGTTTTTATCTGTTTGTTATTTGTTTTCTTGCGTCCATTTTTGTTGTTGGGTTTGACAGTTTGTTTGAGTTTTTTGCCTCTCTTTATGTCATTGGGTATGGTTGGATCTATGAGAATAGTCATGGCTGTGTCAAGCCCACTACATGGTTAGCGATTCATGTTGCTCTCTCAGGGGTGACCGTTTCAAAATCTCACCATAGGGTTACAGTCGTAGTTGGTTGAGTTTCAGTTGGTGTTTGTTTTATTTTCCCTTTGCTTGATGTAATGATCATGAATATTTTGATATGAATAGAGGCATGTTTTGATGATAAAAAAAAGTAGTACTATTTTCATGCCACTAACATTGGGACATTAGGAGGTAGCCCTATTATTAAGCAAAATGAGTACATGTGATTGATATTGATTTATAAAGGAAGAATAATTTAAAACCACACAAATTTTACCGAATTTGGTATGAGATAGTCTTAGTAGAATTAGCATAAGTGTGTCTATAATTAGAGAGAATATTCCTGATTTTGATTGATCAGTTTAAATTTAATTTGTTTAGTGTATACAGGTGTGATTGAGTTAGACCAAAATTAAACAAACCAAACCATTTCATAGAGTATATTCGTCCAAACACAACCCTCACAATCAAGGATACACAAGCGGCCCAAATGGACAATTGGACTACCTCTTGGCCGGACGTGTAACCACTTTCACAAGAATACCAGGGAAAGACACAAAGGACTAGGGATAATTGGCTTGATTCTTCGGCCCATACATGCCCTCAGCCTCTGAAGCATCGTCCTGGATTAGGGTCTCAACCATCTGTGGAAGCCACCATACAGAGCAAATCAACAACAAGAAGAACAAGGGTCCTCTAGATTTATTTAAAAATCATTTTTTATCCTTTTGAACTCACTAAACATCCGAATTTTTTTCTACTGTTTTTATACTTTTCTAGTGTATTTATGAATAATAAAAGATATTATAAACTTAAGCCACATCTATTCAAATGTAAAAAAAGTTTTGCAATTTTTAATTTTTTAAACTAAATTTTTAACTTTTATCACTTATAAAATAAATTAATAATTTTATCTTAATCTTCCAAAATCTAGAATGCTGTAAAAATACTACTTTCCTCCAAAATTGATTTACAAAGTCAATTTTTTTTCAAGCAGTTTTATCTTATTCACTTAATTAGGATATCAGTTTGTAATTATATTCTAATGTGAATTTTGCAACTTTATAGATATTTTATTCTAGTTTCTAAATACATAAATTTTAATTATGACAAATTGAATTAATTATCAATAGAGAGGATTTAACCTTAACATTGAATGACCAAAAATGTTGACTTTGTAAATTAATTTGAGATGGCATAGGTAATAAAAAAAGAAAAAATTATACAAATATAACTACTTTAAACCCCACTAACAAAAATATGATTTCATGCCCTACCTTACTCCCATGTTGTACAACGTGTTCCTTAGCATTAGTCAGTTTTTTGTAACTCCAAATAAGACAAATATTCAGGTCCGGCCAGGCCAGACCACTCCCCCCGTCCGGCCTCCTCCATTTGGGGGCCTTCCCGGTGGTAATTTTTGCTCAAATTTTTTGTGTAGGTTCCAAATTTCAACCAAAAATTCAATCGGGAAGGTCATCAAATGATTTTCCAGACCAGTTAACTTGCAAAAATCATTTGACGACCTTCTCAATTGAATTTTTGGCTGAAATTTGGTATGGATGAACTAGATTTGATGAGGAACCTACACAAAAAATTTGAGCAAAAAATACCACCGAAAAGGCCCCCAAATGGAGGAGGCCGGACGGGCCTCCGGTCATATAACTCTTCCAAATAGTATTGGTAATATTAATGTAAAAAACTCATAATTAAAACAATATTTAAAATGTACTTAACAAATTGGTAAATATGTTTTTTATGTGTAACTTAATGAGTTATTAATTTCAAAAAGTATTTTTGAATATACTAATTTCAAAAGCTTTGCAAGTATAAAGAAAACTAAAATAATTATCAAAGTTTTAATGCATGAGATATATAATATACGTGGAATGCAAACATTTCAAAGACATTTAGGATGTTTTTAACCTGACCGATTCCGATCCAAAATCAAACCAAATTTAAATAAACTGGACAAAATAAGACTAGACTAAAATAGATCAGGCTAAACAAGAACATATTTAAACAACAGTAAAATTGACATTCACCGGCCATATCTAACAAAACTTGACAGATAAAACTAAAATATATTTTTTATATGTAATGTTGATGAGATACGAATGATCAAAAAAAGTATTCCCTCCGTTCCTAAATGAATGTCCCAATTTGACTTTTGCGGTCTCCTAGGTAGACATATGATCGTAATTTTCTATTAATATATACCTATAAAATCCGTAATTTTCTATTAATATATACCTATAAAATCTATAATAAAGTAATAAACTAACATTTGAATAACACATATTACAAAGAATCACATTAAATTTTTTAGGAATAAAATATTATTAATTTTGAGTAATTAACAGTCAAAGTTTAACAAGTTTGACTCAAAAAGTCAAACTTGGACATTCATTTAGGGACGGAGGGAGTATTTGTTATGATATTTTTTTTGTAAAGATGGGAGTACAAATGAAAAAAATATGATATTTTAGAAAAAAATCAATTCATTTGCACCGACCTATTATAATTATTTGTAGAGTTAATTTTGCAATTGAATAGTGTCTGTCACGTGTGAAGCTTCAAGCCTTCAAGGAGCAATTTAATCTTCAAGACTTCAATTCGATTAATGTTTGTCTGATGTACAGATAGATCCAATCTCGGGTTAAAAACTAGAACTCTTCACACAATCACACCCCAAGATTCAAGAACCTTCGCAAGTTAGGAGACACTGAACCCAGATTCAACTCTATAACCACGGTTCATAATACTTTAATGGTGGGAATTCCAGCCTTAACAAGTATGTGTCCACCCATACTCTTAATACAATCTTAATGCAATTGATCAATTGAATTGACTGTTGTTAATGCAATTGAACAAATTCACTGTTTTTTCTTCATTTATATCTGTATTCCTTAATTCCTTTCATACCCCCATTTCCAATACTTGGGGAAAAGGAAACAAATTTTGGCATTGAATTGACTGCAGTAATATTTCAATTCATAAAGAAAGGCTGACAGAAACGATCAACTATATGAATTGACCTGAACAACGGAGACACTACGTTACAACAAACAAACATAACCATCATGTGTCAGGAGGCCAGCCTCCTTGAGACTATTTTCTCATCTGAGTGAAGAGTTGAGATGCGGGTTTTGCAGCAACAGAACTGCCAAAATCTGAGAAGCCTCCGCCACCTTGTGGGTTGCTAAAACCTCCAAACATGCCACCACCTACATACACCACGGTCATTCGCAACACTGTTATCTTTTTTTTATTACATCAGAAAGGAAGATATCTTATTTCTACCTGTGGGCAAGGGTACAAAATCAGGGGGTGATGAAAATTACTGTACAACGCACAGAATAAGTTTTCTCCAACTGATCAAATATAACAGTTACTTGGCTCTGTTCGTTTCCAAGAAAATAACTAATGAAAATGTTTTCATGGAAAAATAGGTTGCTTTATGCCTTTATATGTACTAGTAATATTTAGTTAAATGTGAGCCAGATCTCTTGTACCACTGGCAGCACTCCTAAACTCGTCAAATTTCAATTCAATTTTAACATTGATTTTCATGTTTATTGTGAAAGCAGCCGCTTCATAAACTAACTAAACCTTTGTTCACTTGGGTTTTATTTTGGGAGGAAGGAGAGGGGGGATGAATGAGATGATCGAAATATTCATAGCTCTAGAAGAGGAAATCAGCCAGAAAGTCAATCAAGAAAAATGAAGAATCAATCAAAGAGATCAGATAAACTAGAATCCCTCAAATGGAAAGGAAGATTCTAGCAATAGATTATGCTAGACTATAAATTACTACCTCCGTCTCCCTATGTTTGGGACAAGAGAAGGTGACACAGTTATTAATAAAAGCGGGTTTATGTGGTTGATATTGAATTGATAAAGTAAGAATAAAGTAAGAATGATTTAGAACCACACAAACTTTACCAAATAAGGTATGAGACAATCTTAGTGGGACGGACCGAAATGGTAAAATGGGACAATCATAGCGGGACGGAGGGAGTACCATTTACCTAGTTGGTGTTTGCATGCCTGTGTTAAGACAATAAACAATGGCCCCTCATATGAAAGAGGTACATTATTATTATCCTACATTATTATTTTCAGATTTTCATACATGTAGACTAATTTATATTTAGCCTCCATAATAACTATATCAAACATGAAACCTTTGCATATTTTAAAAAATTAACATAGAGGTTTTCCTCTAAATATTACTGTATTAAAGGTGATTTCCAAAAAAGTGATCACTTAAATAGATTGGGATATCCATGATGTCATTGTCAGTTTTTATGTCACTGTTATTGACGACCAGTATCACTATTGCTGCCATCAGTGTCATAGATGTTGTGAAATGTGCCACAAATGTTCCGGTGACTTTTTATGACGAAAATTTAAAAAAGGGAAAATAACTTTAAATAATACCAACTATCTTCCATGAACCAAGAATAATACATACTTTAGAAATAACTTTTAATAATGCCAAGTATTTGAATGTAAAACAAAAATAAAATGGAGTCACTTTTCTACAAGAAATTCAATCATTTAATACATTAAAAACTCTTATCAAACCATCAAATAAATGATATTTGGAAATACGGTAACTTATTTGATATTTTGATATTAGTTTTTGATGAGTTATATGACTGGCAATTAGTGAAAATTTGCAATATATCACTTTTGATGTATAATCAAATAGTCGGTATTATTTGAAGTTATTTTTCCCTAAAAAAGAGCAAAAAACTCGCAAAATTTTCCGGTGATTTTTCTCGGTGAAATTTTTCGACGACTTTTCCGGCACCGCCAGAAAAACTTTTAAAAAACCACATAAGCAACTTTTAACCAGAAGACTTATTTTTTACTGGCTAAGAGGCTTAATTGGGCATTTTTTGTGAGTTTGAGGGTTCAATTGATTGTATCTATAGTATGAGGATCTAATTGACTTTTTTGACATGGTAGAAGGGATTATTTGACAGTTTTCCCAATTCTAAAATGGTTGTCCTACTTGAAATAGAGTATTGATTTGAGAAAAATTTCTAAACAAGACTAAGACAGCGAATACAAAAAGCACCATTCACATAATTTACTTTCTGGAGAACACTGTGTTGCAGATTAAGCTAGATCATAATCAATCATTCAACACTAAACGAAGAATACACAGATGAGAAATCACAATATACCTGAACCGGCCGTGGGAGTGGCACTGAACCCACTTGCAGTTGCAGCTGCGGCAAACCCACCAATCCCCGTGGCGGCAGAGGCAAATCCTCCACCCCCAGTGGCAGCGGCCGCAAATCCACGACCGGTTGAAGCCAAATTAGAAAAGCCACCACCGACAGCAGAGGCCCCACCAAACCCACCAACTCCAAAACTGCCAGCTGAGCTATTACTATTATTGCTTACAAAGCTAGTTCCAATACCAATGGCAGATGCAGAGCAACTTCCAGGCAGTCCACTTCCAAGCTGTCTCGACTGTCCGAAAGTACCAAGAACAGATCCCAATGCATTATTTCCACGTCCAATCTGAGATGGTTGACCAAATCCACTCCCAGTAGGGGTTTGACTCACACTACCAGAAGTAAATCCACCACTGGAAATGCTACTAAAGCTTGTTGGAGGCTGCAAAGGCTGTAGTGATGAGAAATTGAAAGATGCTGGTCTAAATAGTTCACCTGCAGGAGCAGTCATTAGGAAGGTAGAGCTTGCTTGAGTGGGGGCAATATTGTACGGCAATGAGGCACCAAATGGGTTTGGTTTTGCAATAGGTACATTATTAGGAACTCCTAATCCAAACCCAGCCAGGTTTCCTAATGTTTGTTCAGTTACCTGATTCACCTCGGGAGCTTCCTCTTCCATCTCATCCTCCTCAAAGACTGTACTGACAGTATCATCATTCTTCTCCCCTTTGGCAGTCTGGAAAGTTGCCGCTTTCTGTTTCTCATTCAGCCCCACACCTAAGGTAGAACTTGAGAAGCCAGATGTGATCGTCTGATTTGCAGATTGTATGTCTGATGAATGTTCATTCGTTGATTTTGATTGGGCCAAAATCCCAACTTGTGAGTTGGATGTAACATTTAGAATGGATTGTGGATTTCCAGAACTCATATCATCTTTTGTATCAACGTTTGATGTGGGGATTTGAGACGATGGTTCAGGGTTGTGTCTCTCACTCTCAGGAATAACAACTGATGGCCCCACATTCTGAGGATCCAAGATATGAAAAGACAAACTTCTTTGGGAAGCAACTAGCGATGACTGAGACAGTGAGGTTGATTGGTTGGAACCACAACTGGCTTTAGGAATGGACGTAAAGCCATCTGTTGTTGGTTCACCTGATGAAAAGTTATCTGATATTGATGGAAAACTAATTTTTTCAGGTGTAGGGGATGTAAATAATGGAGTTGTAGATGCTGATGTTTGTAAATTGACATTTGAGGAAGACGGGGAACTAAAAGATGAAATAGGTATTGATGGAAAATCGAATTTAGCAGGAGGGAATGCAGAGTTCAAAGATTGAGCCAAAGTAGATACTAAGGTTTCAGTAGTTTGGCTTTTATGTTTAAAATTTCCTGAGATATTAAAGGCAGAAGCAGCACTACTTGCACCAGAGAAGGAAAATTCAGTAGTAGTGTTTAATTCCGAGTTCTGGATGTCAAGGGAAGGCTTCTTCAGTTTGGTTTCAGACTGCTGAGCGAGTTTTGATGGACCCGGTGCGGAATTCACAAGAAAAGGAGTGGTGCTGGTTGGACTTTCATCGTTTACTTTTCCACCTTTTTGAATACCTTGATCAGGAGAGGTTGACTTGGGTTCAACCAGGGATGGCATTGAGGACTTTAGTGCTGATGAAAGTTTGCCTTCAGGTTTTTCACGGTCGTCGGCCCACAGGGTTGCACGAGCAGTACGTTTATCACATAATTCCACTGAGATTTCTGGAAATCCTGCATTTATAAAGTGATATTAATAATAAAAACTACTATTTCGGGAATTTTCCCGTTTTTTATATGTTTCTACAGTGTAAGGGCTGCGAAATCTATATGAATGTGACACCTGAGAATACTTATATAATGTACTTCATACTTTCCAATGCAATAGCAAACATTAAGAACACAATTTGTCTTTGCAAATTTTTCCAGTCCCTGATATCTTCCATTGCCTAAAAACCATTTTCATTGGTGTTTTCCTTCCTTTCACAACCATTCTCTGTGTACTAAGCATATCCTGCTATGTTTGAGAAACTATAGAGAATATATTTAAGTAAAGAATGGGGGCTAACCAGTGCTTTTGAGTTTCTGTTGAAAAGAGGTTGAAGATGCACTAGAGAAATTTGAGCCAGCAGAAGTTGATCTTTCATGTAACTGAGAACCAAACTGTTGTTTATAAGCTGACAAAGCTGAGCTACTAGCACTTTCCTTCTTGTGATCTTCTTGCAGGAGTATTCTTTTTATTGTTGTCTTTGGAGGCTCAAAAGAAGCCCAGTTCTACACACAGAGCAGCAAGGCTTATAAGGGTGAAAAATGCAGTGTGAGTGTCAGAATCAAAATAAGAACATAATTGTATTCAAGATTCTGTGTGAATATCAACATAGCGAGCTTATCTGCTCATGGGTGTAGATGCTAAATTTCAGTCGTCACTCATAAAAGCAGGAACATATGGAATAAACTAAAATGACTCACTAAACTGCATGCACTTCTTTGTTATGAAGCAGCAGTCAGTCCATGCAATTTTCATCATGGGTCATCCAGAAACAATCTCTCTAGACTTAGGTAGAGGGGTAAGGCTGCGTACATCCGACCCCCCTTATCCGCAGGAAGCTCAACAGAAGTGATAATAAAAATTGCATGTTTGCTACATTGAATATCCTTACCAGCATCTTCTGCTCTCTTAACCATAATGATATGTAAAGCACCTTGAATTCCCGATCAATTAGGTCTTACGGTAACAATTATTGATAGATAAAAGCTAATCAGCAGTGTCATGCTTTCATTTAAAACCAAACAATGGCCTTGTTAGGAGAAAGAAGTTTGTTTTTTCAATTAATATTGAGAATGCTAGTGAACTGCCGTAAACCACAGTTAGACCGTGTAAAATTTTCAAGAACCACAGTTTAAGTAATTCGTCAGTTTGTTGATGGCCAAAACATGAAAGATACATTTAAGAAACGAAGCAGAAATGTAGGGAAAAAAGAAGTTTTGGGTAAAGGTCAATAGAAGTTCTTTATGACAGTGAGATGATGAACTGGCATAAACATTGTTACGTTGATTTTGTCATTTTGTGTACTTGAGGGAGTGTTTGCTAAAAATTAAAATCAGTGCTTTTCAGCTTTTGGCTTAAAAAAAATTGAAATGAGTGTTTTCAAATGACAACTTCTACTTAAATTAAACTCTTACAAGCTAAAAGCTGGAAGCAAATGGAAAGGTGCTTTAAACTAATTTTCACTTTTTCTATTACACAAAAAACACTTATTTTATTAAACACTACCAACTTTTACTTTTTCAGAATCACTGTTTTCTCAAACACTACCAACTTTTACTATTAAGCACTTTCTTCAAAATCACTATAAAAAAGCAATTTTTTTAATGTAAAAGCAATCACAAACACTCCCTGAATATGCATTTCACTTCTCTTGTTTCTAAAGTATATCCATAATTTTGGGTTAAATTTTCATATTTTGAGAAATAAGTTCAATAACTTGAAGTGGAACCAATGCACATAAAAGTCAACATAGAGCATTCAAGAAATAATACAATTGGCTAATCGTCTGTTTATTCAATTACAATTTCTTTTTTTCATGCATCTGTTGGAATGGACCATTTGGTATACTATATATATCATACTTGTTACGGCGTCGCCTAGGCGTCGCCTAGTCGCCGACTAGGCGTCCTGGCGCTAGGGAGTTATCGCCGTCTTCACTCGCCTCGCCAGAAGAAGTATAGTCGCGATAGGCGTCCTCCCGGCGTCGCCTAGGCGCGATTTTGCAACAAGTCGTCGCCTTTTTTGCCAGTCAACAACCGTCCGCAGGCCCAGAAAAAAAATAGATTTAGGCTTTTAATTGAAAACAAAGCCCAAAGGTATCTGACAATCTTACGGGCTGTTTGTTTCCATCTTCGAACTCAAGTCGTAGAGACTGCGCACCGCAGCATTAATCGCTGCTGCAACTCCAGGAAGCAGGAGAGCTTGCGCGTCTCGCCCTCGCTCAGTCCCTTGCGTAAGCATATTTGCGCTGAGGAGACGACCAGTACTTTCTATCTTTTTCTGGTCTAGTGGAGTAATATTTTAATTAATTAAGTTGTATATTTATATAAATACGTATATACAGAGTATTTTGTAAACATGGTATGCGTAGTTATGCCCAAATATATTATATACTTTACTGAGTTTACGTAGTTTAACTGTTTGTAAAGTATACAAATATATGAAAAATGTAAATAATTAAATACGTACTTTACATTTTGTAATATATTAATAAAATATAAAGAAATAAAATTTAATTAGTAATGTATTATATTATATATATATAATTATATATATCAAAAAAATATAATATAGATTATGCGACTAGTCGCCTAATTGTCGCCTAGGCGGGCGCCTTATCGCCTAGGCGATAAGGCGGTCGGCTGGCGCCGCGACTCGACTTACCGCCGTGACAAGCATGATATATATACAAAGAAGCCTGTGAATTTGCTTAAAAGTTGGTTTGTTCTTGAGATTTAAGATTATTTGGTTAAATACGTCTTTAATCATTTTAAAATTATCATCATTACTTGTAGTTTTATATAATATGAATCTTCACTCTACTGAATTATAATAGATGTACAAAGAACCTATATATATACAGGGAGAATCCTCTTCAAAAGGAAACTCTATTCTCAGGAAACTAAATCTCACAGAATATGGAATCTAGATCTGAGAGAATAAGGAAACAAAATCAAAGATAATTACACATTATTTGACAGAATATCTATCTAAATCTACACCCCCCCTCAAGTTGGGAGTATATATGTCAACTAAACCCAACTTGCTCACAATCCCATCAAAGCTAGGCTTGAATAGTCCTTTGGTGAGGATGTCTGCCACTTGTTGTGAAGTTGGAACATATGGTATGCATAAACTACCATTTTCTATCTTCTCTTTGATGAAGTGTCTATCAACTTCCACGTGTTTAGTCCTATCATGTTGTACAGGATTGTTTGCAATGCTGATGACAGCCTTGTTGTCGCAATACAATTTTATAGGACATTCTAGAGGTAGATGGAGTTCCTTTAGTACTCACTTGAGCCAAATTCCTTCACAAATCCCGTTAGCCATAGCACGAAATTCTGCTTCAGCACTACTGCGAGCCACCACAGTTTGCTTCTTGCTGCGCCAAGTCACTAAATTTCCCCATACAAATGTGCAATATCCACTTGTTGATCTCCTGTCTGTGGTCGAGCCTGCCCAATCTGCATCAGTAAAAATTTCAACAGTTCTTTGAGCACTCTTCTCAAAAAATAATCCCTTTCCTGGAGATCCCTTAAGATATCTGAGAATACGGTATGTTGCATCCAAATGAGCTTGCTTAGGAGAATGCATAAACTGGGAGATGAGGCTAACACCAAAAGCAATATCAGGTCTTGTGTGTGATAAATATATCAGCTTCCCAACCAATCTTTGATACCTCCCCACATCAACTTCATCACCTCCAATATCACAGAGTTTCTCATTTGGATCTATCGGCGTATCAACTGGTTTACAACCAGTCATGTGTGTATCAGAGAGTAAGTCCAGAATATATTTTTGTTGACTTACAACAATTCCCTTCTTCGATCTCGCCACTTCCATTCCCAAGAAATACTTTAGTGGCCCCAAGTCTTTAATCTCAAATGCCCGTGCTAGACTTCCCTTCAAATCATTAATTTCTTCAAAATCATCACCTGTGACAATGATATCGTCAACATATACTAGTAAAACAGTAATTTTCCCATTTCCTTTGCGTTTAAAGAATAAGGTGTGATCACTTTGTCCTTGGGAATATCCCTGCTGTTTAACAGAGCTTGTAAATCTTTCGAACCAAGCTCGAGGTGATTGCTTTAAGCCATAGAGGGCCTTCTTTAAGAGACACACTTGAGATCCAAACTCGTTTTCAAAACCAGGAGGAACATCCATATAAACCTCCTCTGCAAGCTTCCCATTCAGGAATGCATTTTTTACATCTAATTGATGTAATGGCCAATCTAAGTTCACAGCAACTGATAGTAGGACTCTAACTGTATTGAGCTTCGCCACTGGGGCAAAGGTTTCTGTGTAGTCAATACCATAAGTTTGAGTAAACCCCTTTGCTACCAGTCTCGCTTTATACCTCTCAAGTGTTCCATCAGAGTTGTATTTGACTGTGAACAACCATTTACATCCCACTAATTTTTTCCCATCTGGAAGAGCAACTTTAACCCATGTCTGATTCTTCTTAAGAGCATTCATTTCCTCCAGAACTGCTGCCTTCCACTCAGGAATCTGTAAAGCTACTTGTATAGATTTTGGGAACTCCACACGATTAAGATGAGAGGTGAAACAAGAAAAAGAAGGAGACAAATTCTGAAGAGACACATAATTAGACATAGGATATTTAATAGTGCATTTTCTCACTCCTTTTCTAAGGGCAACAGGCATATCAACTTCAGAAGGATTGAGATTAGAATCAAGAGTTAATGGAATTGGATCAGGAGAAACTTTACCTGTCTGTGGGGATTCATCTTGGTCGTGCATGGGAATGTTTGGCTGTAAACCCTTCGGTGGACGTTTTCTAGAGTATGTTTGTCCAAATCTCTTGTCATATATTGAAGTATGTTGTAAATCATCAGGACTTTTAGTTATGGCAGATTCATGAGGGGTGATTTCATTTGAAATATCATTATCTAAGTTAAGATTCAAAAAATCTAAATCACCTACACTCACTGAAGCTTCTTGACTCCCCCTAGATAAAGGCTCCCCCTGAAGCTGAAGTTGAGGGGAAAAGAACGGTGATCTCTCAAAGAAATTGCAATCCATGGAGACAAAATATTTTTTTGAGACCGGGTCATAACATTTATAGCCTTTTTGAGAGGCTGAATATCCAAGAAAAATGCATTTTATTGCACGTGGATCAAGTTTAGACTTAGTTTTATCCCGATTAGACACAAACACAGTGGAGCCAAATATTTTGAAGGGTAAATTTACAAACGGTTTAAGATCACAATTAAACTCATGAAATTTTTGGATAGGAGTTTGAAAAGATAAAGGTTTAGAGGGCATGCGATTAATCAAGTAAACAGCAGTTAAAAGGGCATCTCCCCAAAAATATTTAGGAACATGATTAGCTAGTAATAATGCTCGTGTGATTTCAAGTAGGTGTCTATTTTTCCTTTCCGCCACACCATTTTGTTGTGGCGTATCAACACATGAGCTTTGTTGGATCATTCCCTTTTCATTGAAAAACTGAGTCAGGGTATTAGAAAAATACTCCCGACCATTGTCACTACGAAATATTTTAATCTTCTCATTAAATTGAACTTGGACCATGTTGTAGAATTTTCTGAAAATATCGACTACTTCATGTTTGTCTTTCATCAGAAATAACCAAGTAAGACGCGTATGATCGTCAATAAAAGTGACAAACCACCTTTTACCAGAAGAAGTAGGGATCCTAGATGGACCCCAAATATCACTATGAATTAATTGAAAGGGTTTAGAGGGAATATAAATACGAGAAGGATAAGAAGACTTGTGATGTTTAGCTAAAGCACACGCTTCACATTTAAAAAAAGATGGATCTTTATTGATGAATAACTTAGGTAACAATCGTTTCAAATAAAAAAAACTAGGATGACCCATACAAAAATGCCATAACATAATATCTTGATCAGTAGACAGACTCTAATTTATGAGGAGATTCTTGGGCAACCATACTTGAAGGCAGTCCATCTTCAAGATAATACAGCTCGTCGCACTCCCTAGCACTGCCAATCATCCTCCCCGAGTTCAGGTCCTGGAAATAGCACATAGAGGGTGAGAAAATAGCTAGACAATTTAGCTCACGGGTTATTTTGATAATGGATAGCAAGTTACATGACAATTTAGGGACATGAAAAACTTTAGAAAGAGTGATAGGTGGAGAAATTTGAATTGTCCCTCTGCCAGCAATTGCAGCAAGAGTGCCATTAGCAATTTTCACTTTGTTATTCCCTGCTGCAGGTTCATAGGAAGAAAATAATTGCGAACAATGTGTCATATGATTCGTAGCCCCAGAATCAATGATCCAAGAACTCGAAGGAGTGGAGCAAACAAAAGCGGAAGGAATACCTTTCTGGGCTGGAGCAGGGGAAGAAGATGAATTAAGTGTGAATTGTGGAGAGTTAAAAAGCTTATACAGGTGCTGTAGTTGTTCCTGAGTGAAAGGTAGTGGTTCTGGAGAAGCTGTTTTTTCTTCAGAAGTTTCAGCCATGGCAGCAGTAGCTCTCCCGTCCCCCTTCTTTTTTGTAGACGATGGTTTCCCATGAAGCTTGTAGCATTTATCCTTTGTGTGCCACAACTTCCCACAGAAATCACAAGAGAATGGCATTTTCTTGTCACCTGCACCATTAAAACGCTTTGAAACCAAAGCCATGTTGTCACTCTCTGGAATTGAGGGAGCATGGTCATACATCACCCTTTTTCGTGCCTCTTCCTGGCGAAGTTCAGAAAAAACAGTCCTGACCGTTGGTAGGGGCTTACGGCCAAGAACTCTTCCTTTAGTTTCGTCAAAACTGTGATTGGCGCCAGCAAGAAACATGAAGACACGATCATCTTCCTCTCTGCGTTTTGCACGTACAAGATCTTTTGGATTTTCCCAAACGTCATCATTATAGCATAAATCCAACTCCTGCCACAGAGAGAGCATCTCATTGAAATAAGTAGTGATGTCTTTGTCACCTTGTTTAGAGAGCCAAAGTTTTTTCTTCAACTCAAATATTTGAGATGAATCGCCACGATTAGAGTATGCCTCACGAACAGCATCCCATATATCCTTAGGATCCATATACATGAACGGCCGACGGATCCGTTCGTCCATGGAATTGAGCAGCCAACCAGAAATCAGGGAGTTGGCAGATCGCCATCGCCGGAAAGAAGGGTCAGTTGGTGCAGGTTCTGGTTCTTCTCCAGTTAAAAAACCAAACTTGCCTCGTCCGTCCAAGGCAAGCTTGACCGATTGAGCCCATTCTGAATAGTTCTGACCATTAAGCCGGACCACCGTAATTTGTAAAGCCTGAAACGAGTTAACATCCAGACTGGAAGGAATTGGTGATAGGGTTTGTGAGTCAGATGATGGACTCGACATGCCAGAATCTTTGGACATGATTAACCAAAGGAATAGTTAAAAAAATAGATCCGAAGAGAAGAGTGAAAAAAAAACTCAGAACGCAGTAGGGCAATTAACAGGAATCAAACCCTAAGTCTCTGATACCATGTAGTTTTATATAATATGAATCTTCACTCTACTGAATTATAATAGATGTACAAAGACCCTATATATATATATATATATATATATATATATATACAGGGAGAATCCTCTTCAGAAGGAAACTCTATTCTCAGGAAACTAAATCTCACAGAATATGGAATCTAGATCTGAGAGAATAAGGAAACAAAATCAAAGATAATTACACATTATTTGACAGAATAACTTGCAGTGGAACCAATGCACATAAAAGTCAACATAGAGCATTCAAGAAATAATACAATTGGCTAATCGTCTGTTTATTCAATTACAATTTCTTTTTTTCATGCATCTGTTGGAATGGACCATTTGGTATACTATATATATACAAAGAAGCTTGTGAATTTGCTTAAAAGTTGGTTTGTTCTTGAGATTTAAGATTATTTGGTTAAATACGTCTTTAATCATTTTAAAATTATCATCATTACTATATTGAGAAGTTCATCGGATATTAGTATGGACCATATTGAATACTATTCGTCAAAATCATCACATCATTTCCAAAAACAATATCCTTCACATAAAAAATACAAATAACATACTCTAATTTAGTTGCAACATGGTGAATTTTACACTATTCACATGCTCTAATTCAACTATATTTTATTTATTAAAGTATTATGAATTTAATTTTTGAAAACATATTATTAAAATCCTTTAGTTTTAAATTTTCAAAATCTGAAATTTTTATATTTTTACTATTAAGGAATGAAATATATCAACGGTCAAACTTGTGCATTGGCAAATGTGAAAATGCAAACGTTGCAACTGAAACAGAACAGAAAAAATATTTCTATGCACGCTTTTATATTTATATGCATACTATACTCTCCTAAATATGTGTTCCTTCATTGGGGGAAAGGGAGGTTGTGGTAATAGTGAGACAGAGGCTGGAGATTCTTCAAAACAGTGATGGTAAATCAAATTTTGCATTATCAGTCATACTGAAGATGGACAAGAGGAAGTTACCCGGTCCAAAGAATCGCGACGTCTTCTTGCAGTTTCTGGTTCAGAACTCTTTGCAGTATTTGTTAGCTTTCTACGGGACTGCCCATTTGCAGCTAAAGAAACAGACCTTTCCCTGTTTAAAGGGGTACTCCATGCTATTTCCTTACCAGGAGAGCTATAGGTGTTGTCATCATAGGACAGTCCAATTGTTTCAAACAATTCCTTTCTAACATTTTGCCTGCCTACAGAAGAGTCTATGTTCAAATCAGTCATCAGCTTTGAGAGATTTCCAGATAGCTGCTCTGCTGCTGTTAGTTGTGCATTCACTGCTCCTCTTAAGCTATGGAAGGAATGTGCATTCCTGCGATGCAAAACAAAAACACTTAGGACACGTTGACTTCACGGGTTACTAAACGGTGCTTATTAAGACCTGCGTTAATAAGCGGCGCATAAAATAAGCAATGTTCTAAGATCGTGTTTACTTCAAAAGGTTTAAAACACCGCTTAACATTAAAATGTCCAAAATAACCCTATACATATATAGGCGCAAAAACATTCATGAACACAAGTATATAATATAATATGTGGGGTCACCTCGTACGTATACCCATACCCTAACCCAATTCCACACCCTTGATCCCTACCCTACCCTTACCACAATAGGGGGTGGGTGGGGGTAGGATGGCGGTAGGGGTGGGGTCGGGGTGAGGCTGAGATAGGGGCTTGTGGTGGGGGGGTTATGGTAGGGGGTGGGGTAGGGTGGGTGGTAAGGTTCTAGGGGTGGGGTTGGTTGGGATTGGGGTCGGGTAAGTGGTAGGGAGTGGGGTAGGGTCGTGGTTAGTGGTTAGGGGTAAGGGTGGAGATGGGGTCGGGGTAAGGTAGGGCAGGGGTGGGTAGGGTATGATAAAGGTTGGGGTGGGGTCGGGGTAAGGTAGGGTAGGATCGGGGTTCGGGGTAAGGTAGGGTAAGGGATGACAGTTAGTAGGGTGGGGTCGGGATCAGGGTGGGACCGAGGTAGGAGCAGGGTAGGAGGTGGGGTAGGGTGGGGTCGGGGTCGGGGTAAGGTAGGGTAGGGGTTAGGGGTAGATGGCGATAGGGTGGGGTCGGGTAGGGGCCGAGGTAAGGGGTAGGGTAGGGTGGGTCGGGGTAAGGTAGGGTAAGGGGTGGCGGGATCGGGGTGGGGCCCGAGGCAGGGTAGGGGCATGTGGTAGGGGGTAGGGTGGGGTGGGGTCGGGGTAAGGTAGGGTAGGGGCAGGGGTAGATGGCAATAGGGTGGGATCGGGGTGGGGCCGAGGTAGGGGTGGGTCGGGTCGAGGTTGTAGGGGTGGCGGTAGGATGGCAGTAGCTATGGATCGGGGTGGGGCCGAGGTGGGGGCATGTGGTAGGGGTTGAGTAGGGTCGTTGTAGGGGGTGGGGTAATGGTCGGGGGTAGGGGTAAGGTACGAGGATGGAGGTAGTGGGTAGGGTGGGGTCGGGGTAGTAGGGTTGGGCGGGGTGGGGTAGCGGGTAGAGGGGTAACAATAGGGTAAGGGCAAGGGGTAAATTCGGAAACTGAAAAAGCTTAAAGTGCCGCTTAATTAATACATGGGGGTTGTATGCTTAGTAAGAGGTACTTGAAGCACCTTTTTCGGTTAGTAAGCGGCTTTTTAAGCCGCATGTGTGTTTACTTCATCTGTCTTACTAACCTAACTTACTAACCTAATTGTGACTTTAGCAGCGAAGTAAACACGTCCTTAATGCATACTACAACTACCTTTTATTTATTGTTTGTATTAAAGCATCACTTTAGCTCTACTTATAAGTGACACAATTCATTATTCAAAACTTAGTTCTAAAAATGGCCTAGCACTGGCAACTAGATGGTATGCAGCATCCGGGGACAGCAACTTCGCCTTTGATAGACCAGCTGATTCTTTACTTCTTTAGCTATTTTCATTGCTAAAGAACACAGAATTGTCATTATACCATTAAAATTCAACTAGATATATAATATATTATTTCATTACAGCATATCTATAACTCCCTCTGCCTACAAAACTTGGCCATGTTTGACATACACACGGAATGATAAAGTAAAAACTGTGTGTTTGAGATCTACGTAGAGGAGAGAGAAGTAACTTTAACCACATATTAATTACTTTAAATGAAAACTTGCAAAGTTTTGTTGGACGGTAAATAAGGAATTTGGCAAAGTTTTGTGGGACGGAGGGAGTACTTAACAACAAAAAGTACAATCTCTAAATAGTAAATGAACTAGTCCATTACAAAAATATCAAAAACTCACCAATACACAAAATAATAAAATAAAGAACAATTAAAAAAGTAAATTAAAACAGGCTACCACACAACTAGCGGCTAGCCACTTTTACAACATTGGGTTAAACCAAAACATACTCAAGTAACCAAATGAAGTAGTGCCAAAGCTATGATACTATACTGCCTTCTTTATATTGCCAGAAAATACCATCAAAATCAAAGATAGTATGAGCTGAGAATCAAATTAATCATCTAGTGGATGATTACGAGGATTAGGGGATATTAATAATCTTACCTTCCTGGTCCATGATTGCATTGTGAGCCTCTTAGATTCATTGTCATTCCTCCTTTTCCTTCTCCAAAAGCATTTATCTCAAGAATGTTGAAGTGTTTTTCCAATTCAATGAGCTGATTGGTTAGGACCTGAAATAGAAGAATGTAAAAGTTGACGAAAATTTAAAGGAAGGTTTTAGAAATATCATCCTGAAATTCAACCCATCATTACCTTTCTCATATCGTTTATATGTACTTGTTTCAAGTAAAGTTCAGAACACAATTTCTGGCGACTCCACATGTCCAAGTATCGGCTATCAGTGGCCTGCTTGAAAATGCCTTCCATGTATACTTTCTTGGCCAAAACTGGAAATTTTGTGAAATAAAAGTAATCTGAAAGCTCTGTAGATATCTATTTATCCAAAAACAGAAACACAAATAAAATCATCCTGGTTTATGCCTCCATGTTGGGATCCCTAGATGACATTTGCTTCAATTAATCTAAACTAGCTTAAATCTCAACCACTTTATTCATTTAATTTTGAATCCACATTGGCTTAAACCACTTAGCTTCATATAAACACGAATATATTGTATCACCAAGCAGAAATTTTAACCCACTGTAATTAAAACTAAGATACAATGTACTCCCTCCGTCCCATTTTGGTTGTCTTACTTTTCTTTTTGGGTTGTACCAAAATGAATGACATGTTTCCTTTTTGGCAAGAAATATGTGGTCCATATCATTTCACTTTATTCTACTCAAATCTCAACTAAAACTTTTAATTTTCAACCACTTTAATAATAATTGTGCCAAACTAAATAAGACAAATATGGGACAAAGGTAGTATATAATTATATATTAACAAATAACTTATTTAGCCGGAAACTAGCAATATTTTACTTGATCTGAGACTGGATTGTAACTTATTTCACCGGAAACTAGCAATATTAACAAATAACTTATTTTACCGGATACTAGCAAAACTAGTACTCCCTCTGTCCCATTTTATAAGATATCTTTACTATTCACTTGGTCAACACAAATCACTCTTGATCTCTTACTTTATATATCAAAATTTTATGAAATTTGAATTATTTTTTGCAGGTTTTGTAGCGGTTTTAACTTTTAATGTAGTTTCTGAATATGTATTTTTTTTTCTAAAAATAATTTGAGTGCAGACACGGATCCGTTTGCTTGATCGTCAATCAAACATCATAAACCGAATAGTATCTTATAATTCGGGACGGAGGGAGTAATTTCTAACTGGATTGTAATTTCTTGATCTGGTATGGTCTGATCTGTTTAAGTTTAAGTATGGGCTAGTAGATGCATGTTCTATATGTATTTTACAAGTTACAACTCTCAAAGTTTGTCTGGTCTGGACTAGTCAATTTAACTACGGTCTAGCCTAATCTAAGACCGAAACTAGTCCAATTAAAAACATCCATAGTGTTATTCTGCTTGAAGCCCCAGGCCATGCTTTGCCAAGGGCCAGCCTGAGCCTAATAAAGTTAATGGCATGCCCTCCCACACGACACCTAATGAAATTGATGTTTTAAAATCAATAAGTAGGTGATTGCAACACAGAACACACTTGATCAGATTGCTTTTGATCAAAACTTCCAGTCATGAAAACTAATGTTCTTAAATCTTTGAAACATCCATTTACTGTGCCTAGAAGTCGAGATGCCTTTGAGCATTGCAACACAATTGCTCACAGTTGACACATTGCTGTTTGTTAAAATTTGTAGTCATAAAAATGTGAACTGATATTGTCATTTTTTTATTGATCATGAACTCAACATTAGCCACACACAAATCGTCCCACATTAACCAAACCATATTCTAGATGTATGTTGAGTATTGCTACAATTGAACAAGCAAGTTTCACAAGCGATGGCATCACTAAGTCCCTACATTGTCCAGCATGGGACAGCCCACATAAATGAAAAAATAATTATCAATCAATGCTTTGTTGGGCATTGCACAAGGTCAAACTGCAAACGGCTTAAGAGCTTACCAATACCTATCCGTATATCCTTAAAGGATACTGCGGTAATGCCCTAGCACCATATGGATTTTTTTAGCAACACTTTGAGCAGCTTGGTAAGTGATAACAATGTGTTGTCAAAATTATAAAAGCAGTCATGGTTAGCATTTTGCATTTGGATAAGACTGATAAGTGTCTAATTCAAATTAATATTTTGCATCGTTCAGACCTAAAACGTTCTATCATTTCCAATGGAGCCAAAGACTAGCTATTTTTTGGATTGGGAATATGATGGAATAAAGCAAAATGGCTCACTAAATTGTCTGCGCTTCTTTATTATGAAGCCACTCAGTCCATGCAATTTTCAATGTGATTCATCATGGGTCATCCGGAAACAATCTTAATGTGCTTTAGTGCAGGGGTAAGGCCACATACATAAGAGTCCTATTAAGTAATTTTATTATTCTCAATAATAGGGTTTTAGGCCCTATAACTTAGTAGAAGTGGGCTGGCCCATTAGAAATAGAATAAATAAGGGTAAGGGGTGAGTAGATGGATAGGCAGAAGAAGGGATTGGGTATTGGGAGAGTGAGGCCTCTCGAAGAGTCTCAATTGTTTTTCCGATTTCTTTCCTATCAATCGACGCTATCTTCCATTTTCAGTACTTCATATCTACGCTATTTTCCTTTTCAAAGTTTTTCCTATCACGTAGGCGGGAACCTTTGGAGTACTGGGGTAATGTTGTTGTTGTGGTTCAGGCCTAAAACAAAAAATCAATGACCATAAGTGATGGGGTTACCGAGTGCTTTTCTTTTTTAATTGTTCGCTTTAGGATTTCAGATCGTACGATCTCCCATCCTTCAGGCCTAAAGCAGCCTACTTCTCTCTCTGATCCCCAAAGAAAAGAAAAGATCGAAGGAACAAGAAAACTCAAGAGAATCAACAGAGCAACATTTACGCAAATACTGTTTGTTCTTGGCACAAGTGTCACCAACATTATTCAGCCAGTAAACAATCTATCAGCCAAAGCAATAAAGCTTAACTGTTATAACTTATAACTTAATATTAATTCATTATTAGAGTGTACCTTTTGCTGTCTTGTCAAAGAGGACCTGAATCTCACATTTCCGTTCATCCATTATTCCCTACAATTTGAAGATGATGAAATATTTGAGATTATAAACCACGATTTAAATGTAATTATCTATTTGCATAATGATCCACGCATTTCCTGTTATGCTGAAAGCCTGGAATGCCAAATTCGTCGAGAAATTCTACATAAAACACTTACACACATTATCTTTTTCAGATGAAAGGCAACATCCCATGTAACAAATTAAACAAACTGCTCGTCTCCCAACTTGTTTCTTCCTTTTATTTTAATCAATGGTTTTAAAGGGGCAGAAGGCCAACAGCATAGACTATTAATGAGACAATCTCAGGAGTACACATGCTTGCAACGAAGGTCATATGTAATAATACATCACCACATTTGTCAAACAATTCGTCAATTAAAGCCTTAAAGGTATTGACTTCAACACTATTTCCTAACAACTTGAGAATATAGTGGATGAAACCACAGTGGCTCAATCATGGTTTTAAATTGCGTAAGAAGGTACTTCAAAATAAATGGGTATTCAGAATCAGGGATGAACTTGATGGGTTAAAACGGTACAAAGCTCATTTAGTGGTCAAAGTTTTCAGCAAAAAAAGGGAGTGGGTTATAATGAGACTTTTCTCCAGTGGTAACTATGACCTCACCAGATTGGTTCTAACTATTGTAGCTGCAGAGGACTTACATCTAGAGCAGCTAGATGTTAAGACGACATTTCTACATGGAGATCTTGATAAGAATATCTACAAGGCACAGCCTGAGCGGTTTCAGGTTGTTGGTAAAGACTTATATGGTCTGAAACAAGCACCTAGCGAAGTTTGATAACTTCATGATAAGGACATGGTACAAAAGATGTGAGATGGACCGTTGCTGCTATGTGAAGAAAATCAAGGTTTCATATATCATTTTACTTCTCTATGTAAATGATATGTTGATAGCTAGTGCAGATATGAAAGAGAACATGTTAAAGAAACAAATGAAAGATTTGGGTCCAACCAAACAGATTTGGGTCCGACATTATCCCAGAAAAGTACATCGGAAAAGTGTGTGAGAAATCCAATATGAATGGCGAAACACACCTTTGGGAAGTCCATCAAGCTTACCGAAGATCAGTTTCTGAGAAGAGGTGAAGAGAAAGCAGATATGGCTAAAGTTCCCTTTGCATATGTAGTTGGTGGCCTCATGTATGCTATGGTGTGCATGAGATCAGATATTGCTCATGGGGGTTGCCAGTCGCTTCATGTCAAAACCGGTGAAAGAACATTGGGAAGCGGCTAAATAGATACTTAGTTATTTGAAGGGTACTTCAAAGATGGGGTTATGTTTCAGATGCAAAGACTTAATTCTCAGAGGGTATTCTGATGTTGATTTGGGTGGATGCAAAGAGACGTTTAAAAGAACTACGGGTACTTTTCACAGTGGAAGTTAGTTGGATGTCCAAACTTCAGAAAAGTGTGGCTCTTTCAACAACAGAAGCCGAGTATATGGTATATGGCAGTTGCTGAAGCCAATAAAGAGCTTGTTTGATTGACGAACTTCCTTAAAGAGTTAAACAAAAAGCAAGTGAATAATTACTCATTACACTGTGATAATGAGAGTTCAGTGAAACTAGCAAAGAGTCCAGTCTCTCATGAGAAAACGAAGCACATTGGGAAGAGATATCATTTTGTTAGAGGGTAGATCAATGGAGAAACTATGAGCTTATAGAATATCTCAAGTGACTGTTTTGAAGCATTGATAGAGAGTAGAAAAATCAAGGTGCAGGAACGGGCTTGGTCCCACCTCCATATGCTGGTTATGGGCTAGGGTTATAGTTTTATTTATTATTATAAAGTTTATGTTATGTTTTCTAGTTTGAGCCTATTATTAGTAGAGTATTTAGTAGAGCTAGTATGGGCTTAATTAGGATTTATTTAATTTGGGCTCGATTACGGTTTCTCTTAGAAGACTATTTATACCCCTTGCCAGGGTTCATTCTCGTTTATCTTGGAATAAAATTGGTTTTAGCCTTTTGGCTATGGGAAACGGCATTTTAACGTTGATTATCTGGGCAACGGTTTACCCTGTTGATTTTTATTTTTCTGTTCTCAACAATTGGTCCGACCTGTCGGATCCCGTTCCCACCGGAATGACGAGATCAACCTGTGAACGTTTGTCAGGGGTGGAGGCCAAACTTGTTTTGATGAACCAAAAACTGGACGCGAGGGAGTGCGAAGCTAGACGCGCAAGGAATCCAACTTGCAGAGATCGCAACCTCCTTGGTTGCGCTCACGAAGGCTCTCGCGCCGCCAACGGCGGAGGAGAATTCATCGGAAGTGGCTTCACTCGACGTGGCAGCAACATCCACGTTCGGAATAGGAGTGTGCAGCACTTCTCTCACGATGTTGCCCTCGTTTGACGGAGAAGACCCGATCGGCTGGGTTGTTAGGGTTGAGCATCAGTTCGAACTTAGAAGCTGTTCTTTTCACCTGATCTGAATGTTTCTGATCTGAATTTTTCTGATCTGATCTGATCTGAATCTTTCTGATCTGATCTGAATCTTCCTGATCTGATCTGAATCTTCCTTATCTGATCTGAATGTTCCTGATCTGATCTGAATGTTCCTGATCTGATCTGAATGTTTCTGATCTGATCTGAATGTTTCTGATCTCATCTGAATTTTTCTGATCTGATCTGATTTAAATATTTCTAAAATTATAATTACAATTATAATTACTATAATTATAAATGTAATTACACATATATAATTTAAATATAATTATAATTACAAACATAATTATAATAGGTATAATTATTATTATACGTATTACACTAGTTATAAATATAGCTATAATTATAATTGTAATTATATTTATAGTTATATTTATTTCTATAATTATAATTATAATTATAATTATAATTATAATTATAATATTTATTTCTATAATTTTAATTGTAATTACTCCGTATAATATGATAATAACGAAAACAAAACTAATAACAATAACAACAACCATATTAGTAATAAGAATAATAATAATCATGATAATAATAAATATCATAATAATAATAATAATAATAATAATAATAATAATAATAATAATAAGGAAAAATTGATAGTAATAATCCCAACTATTGGCGGTCCGCTCATAATAATCCCAACTATTGATTATTACAGAATAATCCCAACTTTAGGGACCTTCCGCCAATAATGGTCCCTATGAATAAAGTATTGTAGTTTCTAAAGTGTCTCAGATGAGATATAACAAGTAATCCCTATAAATAATCTCAACTTTTAATTTTTACGCTTAATTTCTTTTTAAAATTCACTTTTTATAGAGGTAATATATGGTCATGGACCATTATTGGCGGATAGCCTATATAGTTGGGATTATACAAAAATAATCAATAGTTGGTATTATTTTCAGCGGACCCGCAATAGTTGGGATTATTATTTTCAATTTTTCCTAATAATAATAATAATAATAGTAATCATAGTAGTAGTAGTAATAATAATAATAATACTAATAATAATAATAATAATAATAATAAATAATAATAATAACAATAATAATAATAAGAATAAGAATAATAATACTAATAATAATAATATCAATAATAATATTAATTATACTAATTACAATAACAACAACAAGAATAATAATTATAATTATTATAATTATTATAAATATTATTATAATTATTATTATTATAATAAAAAGGATAAATCATGTCTGAACTTTTCTGATCTGATCTGAATGTTCCTGATCTGATCTGAATGTTCCTGATCTGATCTGAATGTTTCTGATCTGATCTGAATGATTCTGATCTGATCTGAATCTTTCTGATCTGATCTGATCTGAATTTTTCTGATCTGATCTGATCTGAATAAAATAAGAATAAGCAATAAGTAATAAGATTAAGACGAACAGAACAGCACCTTAGTTTTATCCATGTACCCGATCGGCTGGTTTTCTCCTGTAGCGAAGATTGCATCAGTTCGTTTGGTTTTATCCATGGCAGCAATGAGCCGCTGGTCATTGTTCCAATTGGATATAAAAAACGCATTCCTTCACGGAGATCTACACGATGAAGTTTATATGGAGCAACCACCTGGATTTGTTGCTCAGGGGGAGTCTGGTATGGTGTGCAGATTACGTCGTTCATTATATGGCTTGAAGCAATCTCCGCGTGCATGGTTTGGGAGGTTTAGTGCCGGTGTCTGCAGCTTTGGCATGATTCACAGTGATGTTGATCATTCTATATTCTACAGACATTCTGCTGACAACAAATGTATTTATCTTGTTGTGTATGTTGATGACATTGTCATTACAGGTAGTGATGATCAAGGAATTGTGCTCCTCAAGCAACATCTCTTTAGCAAATTTCAAACAAAAGACTTGGGAAAGTTGAGATACTTCCTTGGCATTGAGGTCGCACAATCTCAAAATGGAATTGCTCTCTCACAAAGAAAGTATGCCGTGGATATTCATGAGGAAACAGGGTTGCTAGATTACAGGCTAGTGGATACACCAATGGATCCGAACGTTAAACTCTTATCAGAACAAGAAGATCTTTTGCCCAACAAGGAAAAATATAGAAGACTCATCGGCAAATTGAATTATCTTACCATCACGAGACCAGATATTTCATTTGCGGTAAGTGTTCTTAGCCAGTTTCTTGATAAGCCATGTACTAGACATTGGGATACAACTATCCGAGTTTTGAGATACATCAAGAAAACTCCAGGGCAAGGATTGTTGTTTGAAGATCGAGGCCACCATGATATTGTGGGATATTGTGATGCAGACTGGGCCGGATGTCCGATGGATAGACGTTCCATTTCGGGATATTGCATCTTGATTGGTGGAAACTTAATTTCATGGAAAAGTAAGAACAGGATGTGGTTGCCAGATCTAGTGCTGAAGCAGAATATCGTGCAATGGCCCTTGCCACATGTGAAATCTTATGGTTGAAGCATCTCCTCCAAGAGTTAAAATATGGAAACACAAAACCGGTTCAACTCATGTGTGATAATCAAGCTGCGATGCACATTGCATCAAATCCGGTATGTCATGAGAGGGTAAAACATATTGAAGTTGATTGTGATTTTATCCGAGAGAAGATCACGAGTGGACATAACATCATAAAATATGTGAACACAACTGACCAACTTGCAGATATTTTAACTAAGTCTCTTAGAGGTCCTAGAGTGGGATATATTTGTAACAAGCTTGGTACATATGACTTATATGCTCCAGCTTGAGGGGGAGTGTGGAAACCCTAGTAGTATTGGGCTAAGCCCATTTGTATATCTTGTATAGGAAACCCTACTACTCTAAATATAGCTATAAATATAGCTTCTTGTATAGCATTTGATCATCAAGTATATGAAATACAACAATACTTGTTCACAGGTATCAACCAAATGATGATTCTTGCGTTCAGCGACACCATTTTGTTGTGGTGTGTGAAACTTTGATAGAGAGACCAAACTGTGTTTGATTTTCAGCACAAAAGTTTTGAAGTATTTGGAGAAATGCAAACCGTTCTTTCATTAAAAAATAACCATGTGTAACGAGAGTAGTCATCTATAAATATAACAAAGTAACAAAAACTTAAGTTAGATTTGACTCGATAAGGAACCCCAAACATCGGGGTATGAACTAAATCAAATGGGGATGTGGCATTATTGACTCTTCGTGGGTAAGACTGACGGGGTTGTTTGACGAGATGGCACGATTCACAATTTAACGAGGGAAGACGAGATAAACCTGTTACCATTTTTTGGAGTTTTGAGAGGCTTGGATGACCTAAGCAATTATGTAAGGTAATCGCTGACTCAGCCGACACACAAGCAACAAAATCAGGAGGATGGAGATAATACAAGCCATGCAATTCATGCCCGACACCAATCACTTTCCCATTACTAGTCCTGAACAACTACAGAATCAGATGAAAAGGTTATAGAACAAGTGAGAGAGCGAGTAATCTTACTAATGGATACAAGATTAAAAGGATTGTTTGGAACATATAAGACATTTTCTAAAGGTAAGGATGATTGTGGAAGAGCCTCACTTATTCCCATGGCGGGAGTTTGATGTCCATTAGCGAGGGTAATTTGCAGTAAATGTGAGGGCTTAGATAAATTAGATAAAAGATAAGAATTACCAGAAACATGATCGGAAGCACCTGAATCAAGGATCCAAAGATTAGAACTGATTGAAACACAAGCTCTAGACACGCCTCTAGAAAGATTTAAATTCTTGAATTTTTAGTAATCCTCATATTCGTCGGGTGGAAGCACAACCGAAGATGGCCCAATATTGACTAATTTAGGAATGAAAATGGGCACAGCGGTCAAGGACAGAATATCAAGCTTGGTATTTCAGGCAATACAGTCCAGCGGCGGCGCACGGAGGCGGCGCACGGCGGCGGCGCATGGCGGCGGCGCGTGTGTTTTCAGACGACGGCAGAACGTCTTCAAAATTTTTGCAGAGGGTCGCCGGAGGATGGCTGTTCTTCTGGTCTTCTGGTACAGGATATGACGAAAACGGGGAGCAGCGGAGCAAGTAGATCTAAAGATGAGCAGCGAAGGGTTGTTTTACTCCCGGCAGCATGTGGCAGCACGTCGGAGCTCCTGCGGCGACGAGATTCCTACCGGTGGTTCGCGACGGTGTTCTAAGGTGGTGGTAGGACTGGTTTTTAATACAGACTACCGGATAAGTCTCGGAAGTAACAGTCGCCGGAAAATGTCACCCATCGGAAATGTTCACTGAAAAACTACGCCTGAAAGTTTAAGAAAAAAAACTAAAAACTACCTAATATATGGCTCTCATACCATGTGAAATATATAACTCACATTCTTATTCATGTTATGAAACATAACACCAATAGCTATATTTATAGCTATAGCTAGGGTACAATTAGGACAAACTACATAAAGTGGGCTGAGCCCAATAAGCTAGGGTTTCAACAGTAATGATGGTTAAAGTGTTATATTAAAGTCAATGAAAATTCTTCTTCTATAAAACAACTTTGTCATACTACGGCTGTTGGGCAAGTACCAAGGTTGTTAAAATCGTATTTTTAGATCGAATCAGAATAGGTATTTAAATTGAATCGGTTAATTGAACCGGAAATCGTAAATCGCCAAACACCAAAGCACTTTCCCCTCCCCTTCCACTACATAACCCCTCGCCAACTCAGCGCATAAAACAGGTTCAAGCCTGAGCGACTTGGGCTGTCTTTGGCTAGCGCTTAACACAAGTCCATAAAATCGTAAAATCAGATAAAATCGAGATTTTTAATGATTTTTATATGATTTAAAAAACGATTAAGTACGGGTTCTTTTAATCCGATTTTTTGTACGATTCAAATCAGTTATGTACTTTAGAATCGTAAAATCATACGATTTTTTACAATTTAACTCGCGATCTTAACAACCTTGGCAAGTACAACAGTACGACTCCAGATAAGCTAGAATACATAAACAACAAGGTGAAAATAAAATTTAACGGGGTATGATTTTCGTGTGAAAGTGTGACTTCAATTCTAAGCAATTAGTAAATTGGAGTAGAAAACAAGGAATATACTATATATGTTCTTCTTACATAGTTGGAACGCTTTTGAATTTCATGCTTGCCAACGCACAACTTTGACCACTAATATATTTAATTGACCGTTAGTAAAAAAATATTAACAAATAACATTTTAAAAATCACTTTGAGATTAACTTTATAATCATTTTATTATATACTTTTTAATACATTTATGAATAAAATGTAGTCAAAATAGAGTGTGTGAATAGCGTAAAAGTCAAAGTGTTGCAGCCATTAAAGAACGGATGAAATATTTTTTAAATGCACAAAACAAAAGCTTACTCTCCACATCTTGCACTTTTCAGATAGAGCCTGTATGCCCTCTTCTAAAGTCATAACTGAACTCTCCTGGCTAGTAATGCACGCATCTAAAAAACCCCCATCACCTTCTATCTCTTGTAGAAGGTCATCAAGTTCTCTAGTCATCTCTTCAGCCTGAGAGTGGTATGCACATCTATTAGAATGCATGTCCTACCCATATGTACATGATGCAAAGACTCATTACAATGCAAGAACGATAACATTAATGGATGTTACAAGTTTAATCATACATAGCAGTACGACATTATTTTTTTAGGAAATAACAAAGAGAACTGAAAGCAGATCGTCGTAGATAAGACACCTAAGCTAAGAGCAAGGAAGATGAAGTCAACAAATCATATAGGCGCTTCAGCAATGAAGGACATCATATCGTGATCTTTCTGTTTAAGAGATGCCAACTTGTGGGCAGCATCATATAGGCGCTGAATATCATTTGCAAAAATCTCTTGAAATTTCCTCCAAAAAGTCTTGCAAGTTTTGAAGGTTCTGAGAGTTCCTAAAATATTGGGTTCTACAAACTGCCATAATAGAGCACACAACTAGTAATCTAATTTTTTCCATTTTTTAGGTTCTCCCTTGATCTCACTTTCATCTTTTTCATGATGGTCATGGTACCTTTGTCCATGAAACAAATGTTCCACAGCAACTGACCAAGACATAAGAGCTCGATTGGTAGCACGAAAATCGGCTGATTTGGCTGATTCTACTTAAATTTATGAAGTTCTAACTGAAGTGGCTGCATTGGCTGATTCTGCTGATTTAAGAAATAATTATTTTTAAAATTTACTTTATTAATAAAATAAAGAAAAAATTATATGTAAAAATAGCTAAAATGATCATCTACCGTAATTTCAGCCAATACAGCCACAAAAGTAACTCGAACCTTACTTTTTCTGCTTATTACACAATTCAGCGCGCGAAAGCAAAAGTTACGTGTTTGGTGAAAAAGTTAGCCGATAAGACTGATAAGCCGAAAAACAATGTTGCCAAATGGCCTCATAATTTTTCTTATTAAGCTTCTCTGAAGTGATAGAAGGAGATCCTGAGAAGAGTTGGGTTGGACTAGAAGCCATATGGAAACAACGATGATAGGTCAGCGGAGATGAGCAGCGAAGGGCTGGATAGAGATGGCAGGAACCTTCTCTGATACCAACTTTAATAAAAAAAAAAGAGTAACAAGGAAGAGAATAGTTTCGTGGTTATGTGTCTGTCGACGACCCTAAACTCCTTTATTTATAAAATTATGAAGTGTACAAGTACATTAATGAGAGAAAGGGGATGAAAGGTCCAATGAGATGAAAGGTCAGTTCTAGAATAATACAAAGGAGTCTATTTAGCTACTAATAAATCTAGATAAATCTAACAATCTTTATTATGCTCTTCTTTATCCTTTTATCCTTTTTATTTTATATATTTTCTTTGTATCCTCTTTATCTAGTCATTTTTATCTTTAACTTTATCTTACCCTTTTTATCATACCTTATCTCTTTATCTCTCTTATCTTTCTTTTCTTTTTTACTCTGATATCAAGTAGCGATTCATGTTAACCAATCCTAAAATCTTTTGGGACTAAGGCTTGGATGGTGTTGTTGTTGCTTGAATCAAATACTTCAATTTTGAATAGTAACAAAGCACATTATCTCCCCTTTGAAGAGTGATTGCCTTACTCTAGAAATTGATGGTATTTAAGGGTGGGCATATCCGTTTTCATGTCGGTTTTATAAGTTTCAGTTAGGTTCGGTTTGGAACAAGTTGGGAGAATTATTACCAAACAAAAACCATACTATTTTTTTGTTTGGTTCGGTTTGGATTTGTTATTTTTTTATAATATATGAATATTTTATTGAATTCCTTAGTTCGGTTCGGTTTTCTTCGGTTTTGGATCAGTTCAGTTTAATACGGTTAATAAGAAATACTATCAAACTCAAACCAAATTGCATATGGTCCGATTTCGGTTCGGTTTAGTTCGATTTGATATGGTACAGTTCGGTTCGGTTAAATCAAACCAATATTATGCCCATCCCTAGTACAATTTTTAAGCATGTTATGCACGGAGTATTTCTTATTTTTCAAGTATCATTTATCAAAAAATTCTTAGATAGCTCTAGTACACCCTCAAAAGATGTGAATACTAATTATTTGAGAACCAATGAATTAAATTGAAGATATAGCAACTAGATTCAGAATATAAATAACAAAGTCTAGCTTTCCTGCATAGTTTAAACAGAAAATTGCCATGCAGCTTTCATGAAGTACAAGGAGCACAAAATTGTAAACAGCAAAATTTAGACGTCGAAGTACATTTATGCTATAACGAGATGTCCAAACTACCTGAGAAATGTATTACAGTGGATCATAGGTAACTTACATTGTGAAACTGCTTGGGCTGGATCCTCTCGGAAGAATTTCTTCTGGGTTGAGGCTTTGAGTACTTCTGCAATAAAACATTTTGCTGCAATGGAGATGATGACTTGATGCTCTGGGCCCAGGGCATGACCCTTTGCTTAGAATAATCAACTGAAGTTGTGTCAGACTGACTCCACAGTGAAGAGCTTTGAGGATGACCACCGGACAAAGGAAGCACAGTTATATCCGAATCATCTGCAACTTTCTGTTGAATGTTACCAAAGGTTTGTAAAGGAGATTTTTCATCACTTCTTAAGGTGCCAGTAAAAGATGCAGAATGGGAAAAGCCAGTTGACATTGTCCTCCCTTGCACTGCTATTGTAGGATCTGTCTGTATACTTTTGCCAAATGTTTGGCCGTAATTATTTGAGGATGTAGCAGGAACAGAACCTATACAATTTTTGGCTTCAATAGATGTATGCATTGCTTTCACACTTAAACTGTTAACTAGAGTTTCCGAGTTTGCAGGCTGAGAAGCATGTACTGATGGGTCATTCACATCTTCACCTTGTTTTACTTGAAGAGGCGACTGTAATCCACCCATGTCTAGACTTAGCTTCATAACAGAAGGTTTATGCTGATCCTCACTCACCAAGTTCGGGTGTGCGTTGGCAACCTGGTTTCGGGTCCCATAATCCTCTTTGGAAAGTAGAGATTGTTGAGTACTCTTTTCAAAAACTCCAGCAGCTTTTCTATCCGATTCACTTTTATCTAGTTTATTATTAGATTTCTGTCCCCCGTCTTCTACATCCTGTTTCTTAACTTCTGACAATGCCACTGCAGAAGTGTTATCTATTTCATCAGGGCATACAAAGACTGGCGATGTAGCTGAATCACCTGCAGCACTGCAGAGAATTTTCTCAAATTTTTGAGAAAAACATTCTATGCACAACATGATATACAATGAATTTGACACAAGTGGAGTACCTAGCGAAGCGAAAAATTGAAAGCCCTCCATCACTAGAAAGGCATAGACAAAGACAGCAGGGTGAAACCTCTTTTTCTTCATTGTCACCAAGCAACATCTTGAGTCCTTTCTGTTGGGAAACCTTGTCGATAGCAAGTCCCAAGACAAAAATATCATCTCCACTTTCTGAAACACCGTAAGATCATAATAATCCCATCAACGTTAAAAATTTAGTGTCAACTCATTTACTTCACAGTTAACAATAAATACGTGCAAAATCATAGTGACAGTGATTAAGTCAGAAAGTTTACACAGGGGGGTAGCATCAATATTAACATCAAATACCATAAAACTATTCTAAAAACAAAACTTCAAACAAGTACAGAGAAAAGCATGACTGCTGGAACAGTGGGACTTGTAAGATTGCAGTTACTTGGGAAGGGAATTAAGAAAAATGGCTCGAATAGCACTTTGGCCATTTCCAAAGACATATATAGGACCACATATATTTTGGACAGAGATAGTGTGAAATATATGACTCACATTCTCGTATTACAACAATGGCTATATATATAACTATAATTAGAGTACAATTAGGACTAACTACATAAAGTGGGTTAAGCCCAATAAGCTAGGGTTAGGGTTCCAACACTCCCTATCAAGCTGGAGCATATAAATCATATGCACCAAGCTTGTTACAGATGTATTCAATTCTAGGACCTCGAAGAGATTTTGTTAAAATGTCTGCAAGCTGATCAGTCGTGCTGACATAACTTGTGATGATTTGTCCTTTTAAAAACTTCTCTCGGATGAAGTGACAATCGACCTCAATATGTTTTATTCTCTCATAAAATAATGGGTTAGATGTGATGTGCATTGAAGCTTGGTTATCATACATCAACTGCACCGCTTTCATGCTTCTGTATCTCAACTCTAGAAGGAGATGCTTTAACCATTGATAAGAACCCGGCTAGTCTACTTGATAAGAATAAGTTTTATGGGCAAGTGTATTTTAGAAGGTCAAAGTAGACTAGTTAGTTATTAGTTATAGGGCTGTTATTACTAATAACTACCTTCCGTTTGTGGAAGGATATAAATAGAATAATTCCCGGCAGGCTGTAAACACTTTTTTTGGGACTGGGAAGTTGGAGTTATATCTCCTTTTGGGACTGTATGTACGGTTTACCTTGCTAATAAGAATTTCCTTTCATTGAGCTAGTATTCTTACTTTTCTGGTGATTGTTAGTATTGTGGATTGTTAATTGCTGTCTATGATCATTCTGATATCGCGAGGTATCTATCATTGGTATCAGAGCGTTCGAACGCTGGATGAGATACACGCGTGCGAAAATGGAAGGAAGAGTTAACGAAGTTGAGCGGAATCAGAGGGAAACGGAGGCGAGAACAGATAGGCATAGGCAGGAGATGCAGAATACCTTGCTGGAGAGAATGGCAGTGATGCAAGCATCGATGCAAGCTGACATCACGAAATTGCAGAACGATAGTTCCGGACGATCGAGAAGTCATTCGCATTGATCAGTACTTCGCATCGCTCAGCTCACTACAGACATGCGAAGGATGATGATAGTTCAGAAGGTTCAGATCATCAATCAAACCATACATCCTCTCAACATGATCGCGGTCATCCTCAAAGTCAAAGATATCATATTCACACTGGACGGAAATTTGATTTACCAATTTTCAATGGAGTGGATGCTTGTGGATGGTTGTTAAGAGTGAACCGCTATTTCAGATTGAATAGAACGGAGGAAGAGGAGAAAATTGATGTCGCAGTGCTCGCTATGGAAGATCAAGCTCTCAGCTGGTTTCAATGGTGGGAGGGGCAAGCTACGCATCAAAACTGGGATTCTTTTACTCAAACGTTGACCAGATATGGTCAAGGATCCTCTGGGGCCTTTATTCAGTCTGAAACAGAAAAGCACCATACAGGAGTATCGAGACAAGTTTGAAACTGCCATTGCATCACATGGACACTTGACTGAGGAGGTATTGAAAGGAGTGTTCCTTAAGGGACTTAAACGTGATGTAAGGGCTGAGTTGAAGCTGTATTCTACAAGAACTTTGGCTGAAGTAATGGATGTGGCTTCCTTAATTGAGAACAAAAATTCTGAAGCCTTGATAGTGAGAAATAAAGAAGAAGGAAAGAGGAAAGGGCAGAATAAAAGCAACAATCTGTCTTTTGGACAGAGTTGGAGTGATGCTAATAGATGGAAAAGCCAACCTCACACACCTGCAGATGAGGGCAGACCTTCAGTGAATACAAAGATTACTGAGGAGAATTAGAATCAAAATTTCAGAAGGGAAGGACCTAGATTGTCCAAGGGCGAATTGTTGGAAAGAAGTAGAAAAGGACTATGTTTCAAATGTGGAGAAAATTGGGGAAAGGGACATATTTGCAAGATAAAAAACTACAAAATGATTGTGGTGGAGCAATCTGAGGGTGAACAGGAGTCAGAAGAGGAGTCAATGGGGTCTAAGGAAGATCACAACCCTATTTTAGAGCTGAAAACTATGCAGCTTTCAGTTCTAAGTAAAGAGGGAATACCTTCCATGAATACTTTTAAGGTGAGGGGACAAATGCAGTGGCCTGGAGGGAAACAATTAGTCAGCATTCTCATTGATTGTGGTGCTACACATAATTTTGTGTCCCAGAAGCTAATTGAAAGATGGCAAATTCCTTATTCTCCAATCCAGGGCTATAAGGTGCAAATTGGTAATGGTGATTGCATTTTTAATAGAGGCAGATGTAAGGAGTTGAAATTGAATGTGCAGGGGGGTGAAATTCAACAAACATATTATATATTGGATCTGGGAGACACAGATTTGGTGTTAGGGATGGAGTGGCTGACTGGATTAGGGGACATGGAAGTGAATTTTAAACTCAAAACCCTGAAATGGAGATAAATGGATCAAGAATTCATTTTAAAAGGAGACACAGCTCTGAATCAACTGGAAGTATCTTTCAAAACCATGGCTCACATATTGCAACAAACTGGGGATGGATTCTTATTGTGTTATGAAGGGCTAGAGACTGGCAAGATACAGGATGTGGAAAAGGAGGGAGACTGGGAGAAGCTGGTGGCTGAATTTCCAGAAGTTTTCACTGCTCAACTAAAAACTAAGGATTGTGATCATGCCATAAGAATCAAAGAAGGTGCTAACATACCAAATTTGAGGCCCTACAGGTATACTTTTGATCAAAAAAATTTGAGATAGAGAATATTATAGATAAACTAAGAGGTGCCAAAATCTACTCAAAACTGGATCTGAATTTAGGCTATCATCAGATTCGTATGAAGAGCTGTGATATCCATAAAACGGCCTTCAGAACACATGCAGGACATTATGAGTATGTGGTCATGCCTTTTGGGTTGACCAATGCTCCTGCAACATTTCAAGCTCTTATGAATGAAGTCCTGAGACCTTATTTAAGAAGATTTGCTTTGGTATTCTTTGATGATATTTTAGTCTACAGTAAAACTAAAATAGATCATAAAGAACATTTGAAAAAGGTGTTGGAAGCATTAAACGAATCTGGTGGCCAATAGAAAGAGGGCATATCATATCTGAAGAGGGGGTAGCTGCTGACCTAGCAAAATAGAAGCAATGAAGCAATGGAGTTGAAAGTTACAGCCATATTGCTGCTCCATTAACAGCTTTACTAAAGAAAGATGGGTTTAAATGGAATGAGAGGGCCAAGCAAGCTTTTGAGGAGTTGAAGGTTGCTATGACTACTGTACCAGTCCTCAGAGTTCCAGATTTTAGTATGGTTTTTGTGGTTGAGACTGATGCTTCAGGAAGGGGTTTAGGGGCAGTTCTTGTGCAGGAAGGAGGTCCAATTGCCTACATGAGCAAGGAATTATCTCCCAGGCATATATCAAAATCAGTTTATGAGAAGGAGCTTATGGCAACTGTCTTTGCCATACACAAATGGAGGCCTTACCTGTTGGGGAGAAGCTTTGAGGTCCATACTGACCAACGAAGTTTGAAATATTTGACTGAACAAACTGTGATGGGAGAAGATCAGCAAAAGTGGATAGCTTAACTGAAGGGGTACAATTTTACCAATAAGTATAAACCAGGGATTGAAAATAAAGCAGCCGATGCCCTCTCTAAAAAATCTACCTATGCTGCCTTATCTTCAGTGATCTGCCAGGAATGGGATGGGTTGGGAGAAGAACTGGAGAAGGATCCTAAATGGATGGAGGTGATTCAGAGGGTGATGACTCAGCCAGATCAGTGCCAAGATTACAAAAGAAAGCGTGGATTCCTATATTATAAAGGAAGGATGGTGTTGCCAAAAGAGTCCCCCAGGATACTTACTGTGAAAGTATAATTATACCTAGGAATATGCTTTAGGAATATACTCTAGACATTATTATTGTATAGCATCTTATATAGGAATATTCCGTCATCTTTGTAATATATATAGGGTCTTAACCCTCCAATGAATATACAGAAAATCTTTCCTCCGCTCTTCAATAATATTCTAGTTTATATTTCAACATGGTATCAGAGACTTCCATTCCAGTTTAGTTTTCTTTTCAGATTTCAGTTTAGTTTGTTATCTTAGTTTAGTTTTCAGACTGTGTTCTTTCTCCTAGAAATAGATTTCAGTCCAAAATCTTCAGAACCTCGAGGCAGCACTCTGTCTCCAAGAACCTCCTACTCTTCCCAGAACCTCTTCCCAGAAACTTTTCCCAGAACCTCTTCCCAGAACCTGTATCCAAATTCTTTCTTTAGAAATTTCAGTTTTTCAGATTCTTCAGAACCTTTCAGAACCTTGGTACAGTCCAGACAAAAAGAAAAAAAAAAATCAGAACCTTAGTCCCAAACTCAGAACCTTCGTCCAAAATTCACAATAGAACCTCCAATCGAAGCAGGCATCCCTTCAGTCGCCGACCAAATACTCGAAATCCGCAAGGCAAAATCGACGCGCTTTCAATACACTCGCCACCAGAAGTTCTCGCAGACGCCGCACACGCCGGTGCGTGATGCCTTGTTTCTGGCCGGAGATTTGATCGGAACTATTTGAAAATCCTCTACCAGCTCCTTCGTCTGGTTGTTCGCATCTGGGGTCTCGCATATCTGTGGAATCTGCTCCGTCTTGTTGGTCGTGCTGGGGTCTTGGGATGTTTCCGCTCTTGGCTGAAGTTGTCAATAGG